ACACAACTAGGAGACTAATGCACAGCCCTTGGCAAGCTGAGAGTGGAAAATGCCCCACCCCGGGGACAATTTTAAGTGTTAATCAAACTTTTAATGGCATATCCTAGGCATAGTAATTTAATAACATTATACTATTAAACTGCTATGGAATATTATAAAACTTTAATCGTGCTAAGAGTGGTTAAAAGGATTTAAACAACGAAATCATAAACCTTTAATAATTGTATTTAAATTTGCATGGCACAGCTAATAATTTTTGCAAAAGTGAAACCATTTGTCAAATCCCCGGGGTCTCAGCTACTATAACAATACCCGGCCCCGGTGCACGTATATGACAGGCAAATTCCAGACCCCTGTGAAAGGTCTATCACACAAATTCCAAGGTGTCTGGGATAGTTACTCCAGGAATTGACTTATGCATAAGTACTATAACTTTAGTCTGGTCTACATATGGTCAAAAGATTGAGTCACAATCTTTCTCATTGGCCGAAATACAACATTTTAGAACTGAAACTATGCTGAGTGATTATAACTAGTGAATACTTATGATTTATATGTGGTTTACAGGTATAAACTATTATATACTGACCGTTGAGAAAGATTGTGACTCTATTTCTGACTGTTATGAGTAATTAACCAACAACAGAGGGGACATTTTTTTGGGACACCCTGTATATGCTGGGAATTTGGTGGAAAAGCACCAATGGATATTTTACAATAACAAACGTTTATATATATATATATATATATGAATATATATATATATGAATATATGAATATATATATATATGAATATATATATGAATGAATGAATGAATGAATGAATGAATGAATGAATGAATGAATGAATGAATGAATGAATGAATGATCAGATGAAAATTCCTTTTTGTAACAAACCTGAACCTTTTTGTAACATGAAATGTTACAAAAAGGACTCTAAAACTCCTTTTTGTAACATGCAGTACTTTTGGTAACATAGAGTTTTACTTTTTGTAACATGGAGTGTTCCTTTTGGTAACATCTTGTCCTTTTTGTAACATTGAGCGTTCCTTTTGGTAACATTTCGTCCTTTTAGTAACATGGAGCGTTCCTTTTGGTAACATTATGTCCCTTTTGTAACATTGGTTGTTCTTGTTTATAACATTGTGTCCTGTCTGTCTGTTTGTCTGTTCGCTCGTTTGTTTGTTTGTTTGTTTGTTTGTTTGTTTGTTTGTTTGTTTGTTTGTTTGTTTGTTTGTTTGTTTGTTTGTTTGTTTGTTTGTTTGTTTGTTTGTTTGTTTGTTTTGTTTGTTTGTTTGTTTGTTTGTTTGTTTGTTTGTTTGTTTGTTTGTTTGTTTGTTTGTTTGTTTGTTTGTTTGTTTGTTTGTTTGTTTGTTTGTTTGTTTGTTTGTTTGTTTGTTTGTTGGTCTGTAATCAGAATATCTCAAAAAGCAGTGAACAGATTTTCACAAAAATTTGTTGAAGGAATACACATGTTCGAGTACCCTGGATTCCAGAGCCTTCGACAGTAAATAACTGATAAATTGAAATGTCGCGAAGGCTCTGGTTCAACGAGGCGATTCTTTGATTAAACCGCGCCAATCACAAAACAGAATTAGTGGTTTTACTGTACTGAAACCACTAATTCAGTTTTGTGATTGGCGCGGTTTAATCAAAGAATCGCCCCGTTGAACCAGAGCCTTCGCGACATTTCAATTTATTATTTACTGTCGAAAGCTCTGGAATCCAGGGTAATGTTCGAGGGACCAACTGGTTAAATTTAGTTCAATTTGGATGAAGGATGGATAAGTATTTACAAAAATTTCCCTTGCTGTCCAAGCCGAAACTAGATGAACATAAATTGTATTTTAAGAAAATACAAAATATAAATTGTATAATTTATGCAAGATATATGCTTAATTCCTGGTGCATTTTTCGAGTGCCCACTAGTTTGTAATGTTTATAGGACTTACGGAGATTAGTCAGTTGTGTAAAAGAGCGAGGGGGACACGGGGTGGGTGAGGGGTTAGCTGAGCCCCCTTCCGCAAGGTATGGGGGGGCGAGCCCCCTACAATATTTTACAAGAGTGCTTACTTACACACCATCAAAAGCAATAATAGTGATTAATTAGGCAACGTAATTTAGTAGACACTGATCCAAAACTAAAAGCTGGCCCTATATATTGCCAATTTTCCCCGATAGGTTTCATTCACCAAGCATCAGTTACGTTTATTCCAATAAAAATGAGGTATTGTTCATGTGTTGGGTGGGGGGGGGGGGGGGGGGGGGG